GTGTGCTCGCAGTTGGGAGGGAATTCATACTTTGTTAATACTTCACCTGGTGTTTATGTGTTCCTTATAATTTCAAGAGTTTACTGATAAAATCATTGTTTTGTTTGCTTTCCGGTAGCCGTTTATTATATTAATTTGTCGTTCATTTAATTTGCCGCGAGTTTTTGTCGTTTCTGTACTGATGTGAAGGAAGTTTTATTTCATTAATTTTTTTGTGTCAATTGAATCAAAATAATAATAATAAAAATATTAATAGAACGTGACAGATTTGTCCACTATTTTGATTATTTTGTTTCTTTCTCAGTTTATATTTGAAATGATTCAAGAAATATATGAAAGTGCATTTTAAAAGAATAGAAATATCTGGTTCTTGTAACATTAGTGGTTTAAAATCAGATGGTTTCAATGGATTTGTTGGTTGATAGGGATAGTTAGAATGATCGTTTAATGTGACATTATATTAAGAATGCATTGATAAGCTATGTGATTTCCGAAACGTATAAATTAATCGGCTTCTTATTATTACTCATGAAGTGTTGTTGTATGAGTACTGGATACTGAAACTACATTTGTAAAACCTGAAACCATAATCATTTGTTTAAATTTATTTATATGCTCTCTTATTCAATTAAATTCATATAAAAGGTGACAATTGTTGATGGAAGAGAAAGTGCACATAAAGAAACGTAGCGCATCGGGAATTGTTCCATGGGAGCCCTGTAAGGTAAGATTCAGGTTTTTTTTTTCAAGTTATTTCAATCTAATGGCTTTTTGTGATTTCATCGGTTTATTTTTATTTCTTTTTCGTTGTAATTAGGTTTTTGAAGCTAGTGAGACATCACCCTAAGTTTGGCTAAGTAAGTGCTTATTTTGTCGCTAAGGTTTCGGTTTTTATTTTCTAGATGTTGAGCTGAAAGAATCGTTTCTCTCCATTATGAAAAAGGAAAGTAATCCGCAGCGGATTAAAATTTGATTAGATCTCACCATCCCCAAAAATCATCTCCTAGACTCATGATGTTAATGAAATTCTAGTCTAGAATGGTTAACTGCCGTGATGATGAGTTTAATTTTTACACTCGATATGTTCATGACTGCGGATGCAAGCAATTTTTGGTCAAAAGTTCCCTTAATTGGATTAGCCGTATATTTATTTTAAAAATTTGATTTTTTGGACCTTTTTTAGTCGTGTTAAGTCGACGGCAGTTGGTGCCAAATTATTTGTTGGACAAATGAATTTTAAATTTAGAGTAGCATAATTGAAAGAAAACATTCTCTTTTTCTTTATATTGGTAATTATTGTATGTTATCGTTAAATAGATCGTTAATATGTTATCGTTGTATGTTATCGTTTCTGAGCAAATAAGTGAATTCTTTTGAGTGAAAGTTGAAATAGATGAATTTTATCGCTTCCATTAAAATATATATATTTTAATATATGCATATTCTAATATGATTTAAGCGACTTGCTATTAAACTTGCGTTTTCATCTCAGAAATGCTTGCTGTATTTTTCAGGCAGCAATATCAGCCTATGCAAGAGGAAGCCATCCTGGTGTTCTGCCACCTTTGATCAAGTATCAGTTTGTGAAACCGAATCCCGTGTCGGAAAATAAAGCTGAATTAGAAATTACTGAGAGACATTTCTCAGAAAGCGGTACTTTTTCTGATGATTCTAGTTTGATGTAAGATGTAAGCATTCGTTTATTCATTACTGCAATTTTAATTCAATAAAGGAAAAAAAGCAATTACTTTTCATATTTCAATGTGCGTTAGAATTATGATTTGTTAAGAAGAAATTGAATTTATCAGTTTTGCATTGGGAGTGTGGAAAATTTTTAAATTTCAAATTGATTTCTCATGTGTTTTAAACCGGATATGAACTGTTTCAAGAGGAAATGTCAAAATAAGTGGGAATATATGGGCAAAATTTTTTCCTGATTTGTTTGACTTATTTAATTATCAGTGGCTTCTGGAGAGATGGAAATTTGTGAATTGTCGAGAGTACGCCCAGTTGGTGACGGAAAAGAATCTTCACCGTTAAGTGGGAAGGTTGAGGTTGGAAAAGAAGAAAATGCAGATAATTCAGAGGAACTTAAAAGACTAAGAAAAGATCTCGAGGTTTGATGACTTAAATTCTACTGTTTTTCAGCTTAGATTTTGTAAATGAGAGAAGCTGATGCATAATTTTTCACGACAATTCCCAATAAATGAGAGGGAAAGCTTGCAGATGATACCATGATAGTCGAGTTTCTCACAACGCATTCAAAACTATATCTTTCGTATTAATTTTTGGATTTTTTTTGTAACTTTTTTCAGTTAGAAAGGCAATTGGCACAAGAATTGAAACGTATACTTGTTGCTACGATGGGTGATGATTTAACATGTCATATGAAGTCGCTTAGCGAAGATAAAGTTCGTCTTGCTCATATGATGACGAAATTTGAAGCACAGGTTGGATTTGTTCAGATTTATATGTAGAAATTTTTTCAATCAATTGTTTTTCTACTGAATTTGTAGTGTTGTTTTGTTTATATGGCTTGCAACATGAGGCATTACTTTTGAAATAAATTTTAGACCAACGATAAGCATCGTTAACTTCCTTGGCCTGTTTGTTTAACTTTCTAAGTGGTGTTAAATTTCAAGGTAAGTTGCTGCGAAATTTCTAGTTGGTTCTACAGGACGTTTATGAAGTATGAAGTATGTCTGTCTGCTTAGAAGAGTTTTCTTTTGCAGATATCGCACGATCATGATAGGGCCGAAGATTTGGCAATATTAGCTGATATGTGGCGTTCTAAATTCTTGGCGATGAGTATTCGAGCAGATGAAATGCGCAGTCAACGATGTCATCTGTTTTCTTATTGCAAGCAGCTTCAAATATTGCTTAACAAATTTCTTGTTATAAACCAGAATCAGATTCACAGAAGGCCCATATCCCCAGTTTTGGAAGCATTGATAAAAGAAGCTCGTGTAGTGCTGAAAACTGATCTGACAACATTTTTTGAACGTTCGCCATGTGATGAGAAAATTAATAAACCAATTTCACATATGTCGAATATTACAATTACTTGTTGCAAACATTGTGTAGGTAAGGAAATTAAATTAATATAGGTTTAACTATAATTTTATAGCTATTGCTAACGCGTATTGTTCATTACTTTATTAAAACGGATTTAGTGTGATTAGTGTAATTCTAATGTAATAGTAAAATAATAATACTCATTTTTTCAGATACCCAATACTTTGATGATCATTTCTTACTTAAGAAAATAATGCGCACTGGTTTTTTATTGTATATTAACGAGAAATTTCCTTTATATTAGACATTAGTGCGAGGATTCGGGAGATAACTTTATTTTTTTTTTATATCTGCTGCTAACGGCTGTAAAAAAGCTACTTATGAAAATCTTCCTGAAGTACCTCTCATCCAATCTTTACAATAATCACTTAATGCACAATATCTTTTGCAAATTTTACAAGTATTTTGAGTAAAGAATTGCATAAGAAGCTTCGCATGATCAATAAATTGGGTTTAAATACACAACCAACTTTTCAATGTAGTAGCAATTGGTATTGTTTACAGAATATAATGTGAATGTTGACTGACTTTCTATGGATTTATGTTACGAATATTAGTTTTTTAAATAACTTTGCATTATGCTTTTCGTTGCGTTAGTGATTTTCAGTGATTTAATACTGGTACAATGAAAGTGTATATATTGATTTTTGATTGAAAAGTAACATTTCTTCGACGTTACATGTCTTTTGTAAGTGATAAATGCAATTTTTATTTATCAGTTCTAAAGGCTGATTTAACTTCTCCGTTATACCTAAAAACTATCATTTGTCTGTATAGTTTGTTACCATTAACGAATCGTTGAAAATTTTTGTTAGAGTATTTCGTAATAAATAATTTTTTCAACTTGTACTTTTCAGTGACTCATGTTTTGTTAAACTTCCGCTTGGAAAATACCGGTGAACTGCTGTCTCTTTAAATAGGAGAAAAATAAGAAGGATAGCAATTTCAAATTAATTTTTTAAGATAATTTTTTTTGTTCTATTCCATATAATAAGTAGACTTATTTGCTTAATTTTTATTTTACGATCAGAAACGCTATGTGGAAAATTGGGGAATTTTGTTGAGGAAATGTCTATGATTAATGTTTCTGTCGTCTAATCGGATAGACGGTGGAACATCTCCCAGATTTTATATTATGTCTGTCTGCTGTCAAAAGGTACACTGCTAAAGTATATTCGTTGGCAAATTTGCAAATATGATTCTATAGGATTGCTTCCAGATTTTTCGTTCATTTCTTGGCGTCATCGATGGCAGCCCCAACAGAACGATTTCATGTGCTTTCACAACTCGATCATTTGCAATCAAAGTATACGGGTACTGGACATGCCGATACAACGAGATGGGAATGGCTCGTCAATCAGCATCGTGACACATATGCATCGATGATCGGTAAATTGTTGTTAGAAGATTTAATAATTTGAAGTCATTTTGGAAATCTTGATTTTCTTGTTTGGAATGACGCAATACTGTTCCTTCGCAAATAAAAAAGTTTTTACAAGTAATATAGATTATATTCAGCAAAAAAGCTACAACTTCTCTGGAGAAGGGGAATAATTTCAGGCCACCCAGACCATCTAAGTTTGATAGCAGTATGCGAAAACGAATCGCGAGCTAGGGTTCGATTCAATCTGCTAAATCAAATGATTGCGCCTTGTGGACCTCCGCCTGAAAAGTCTGCGCTTGATGAATGATCTCATCATATTGTTATTAATTTTCAGTGTCTCTGGAATCATTTATTTTTGGTGCGGTGCATGAAAGTTTGAAAAATACTTTTTTCCGTTTGTTGCAGAACTTTCTAGTTGACTCGATTGTTCTATTTTTTTTCCCATTATTTTGTTTCTATATCTATTTGTTTTTCTGTGTTTATTGGTACCATCATTTATTGATTTTAAAAAGTAGTGCGTTTTTCTAGTATATGGTCTTTATTAGCAAAGCTATAAATGAGAGAAAGGAAATTGGAATTGCAACAAAGTTAGGACTTTCGAAAAGTTTGTCGAAAATTTTAGATTTGGATCAAAGAAAATGTCATTTGGGCAAATCAATCGTGAAAATGAGTCAAATTCGTTATTAATAGGAGAATGCAACAAAAGCATAACATTTACACCCTTAAATGTCAACAGTTTAACACGTTTTATCATCAAGAAAAAGCGAGAAAAAAGTTAAGATCTACTGCGAACGAAAATTGTTAGCGTCTTAGTTTTCAAATTTTGATAATAGCATGTAGGCAGACGCACCAAATAGAATAAAAGGCATGAATTGTGCCATTACATGTTTTTTAAAATTCATCCAGGAAAATAAAACTCTTTTAGGTTGCTATTGTTGCGTGCCGTTGTTGTGATGTAAAAAACTCAGAGCAAGTTTAAAATTTAGTTGGAGATACTGAGAAAAATTGTCGAACTTAGGAGTTTGATGGTGTGGCACAAAAAGTTCTTTAACTGGATAAATTAAATGTTTCCGAATGAATATCTGTCGGATAATTGGTTTATCAAAAGTAGCACGGTTCAATAGCAAAAAAAGGATTCCAGATATTATGAATGATATTATCATCAAGTCGAAAAGTCTTTCAAACTTTAGATTTGTAAAAATGCTAGTGCTTCACTACAAAATTCCCAATTTTCACTTAAATGACATGAATTCTCTCCCTACCGTATATCCTGCCGTTCAAAATGGAAATAACCATTCGATACGATTTGAACATTTCAGATCATCTATTCATCTCCCTTTAACCATTTCAGATCATCTACCTTTAACCATTTCAGGTCACCTAATGTAGTTCTCTAAGGCTCTAAATGTATTTTCATCACTGCAAAACTA